TTTCAGATAAGCGAAAACATGTTCCATACCCCTTGACATTGGAAATTAAAATAGCATTTCAGCTATCCTAGCAACATTCTCCTCATTGCACACTGCAGTATGGTGCTACCAGTAAACTGGAAAACTGAAAATGTTGGATGTAAAACTCCATCTCATATCATGGTCTTGCACATCTTGTCCAATCAGGAGAAGCAAGTAGGATTTACAACGCCATTTCATGTCATACCATTGTCCCCATTGACTTTTCATGATGAAGCTACCATCTGATAATTTTACATTGATATCTTTCATAGATGAGATGTTGGTCAAGTTTGAATATGACAATATTAAGCTGGATGTTTATTGAGTTATCTTTCTTGATCATGTAAAATAATGTTGTAGGAAAATGGTATTGGATGAAAAGATTGATATTCCATGTTCTATTATGGCTAAGAAAGAGAAAACAAGGAAAATCCAAGATGGATGATATATCTGGTATAAAACAAGGTTATGGTATCAGTGAAACTGATCCAGAAACAATTGAGTCTCCCCAGCCAGTTGATTACCATCCTTTTGTAAGTAAACCTTAGTGGTTATAATTTATTAGATAGTGGAAAGCAGATTGATTAAGGAGTGGAAATCTTTAAAATCAGACTGAAATTGTACATTCGTTTAATGTACATACATACATATGTATATTAGATTAGAGCTCATTTCATTTTGCTGACACTTGCTTAGGATAACAAGCCTCATCAGGACAGCTAGTTTTGGAAGTGGAGGTTAATTTTCTGATATAGGATTTCAGGCTTATGAGCAAATGTTAGCACACACTCTGAATAGTGAGGTAGTCTTCATAGAGAATTCTCAACATTATGAAAGAAAAATTACTATGCTATCAACTTCATCAGGACAGCTAGTTCTGGAAATTTTTCCAATACAGGAAATCATGAATTTGAGTAACATAAGCACATGCTCTGAACAGGAGTGTGAAATCAAAAGTGAGAATATTATATAGTACAAAAAATACACTCCTGTATATTCTACCAGAGTTCATCCTATGCTACCAGCTGAAAAATTTGTATTTGAATTCATCTAGGCAATAGATACAACCTACTTCGCTGCTTTTGGACCTGATGGTACAAACCTAGTGATGAGAGTTGCCAGAAGACCAGACAGATGTGCTGAAATCTGGTTATTTCTAGATCTACCTGGTATTGGCCAGTTTCAACATCCTGTACATCCCGATGTCTTCTTAGCTAATACTAATGGATCTTCCTTTGAATGTGCTGGTCTAAAATTTGAGATGTTGGAACCAATGTTAAGATGGAAAATCAACTACAGTGGTCTGATGAGGTACTTTTGTTTGGTAGTCATCTACATGTCAACTCATCAACAAACTTGGGTTAACTCGTCTACAAACTTTGTTGATGAGTTGACATGTAGACGAGTTGACTTGTAATCCTTTTGTTTACACATTAGAATATATTTTTATAGTACTGGATGGATAAACAAAGAAGACTTTTTGACCTTTCTCGATCGGTCACTCATTGGAATTTTGCTGGTAATTATCTTCTAATTTAGCTAATTATGAATTAATTATGGACATGTGAGACAAACTGGTATTTTTCCAAGTCATTACAACATCTCTACTTTCTTTTCATATAAGTATTAGCTTTGTCTTTTTCATAATAAAAATAAGGGAACCCATCTTTAATATTAATCATCATTTGATGAACATAGATCTTTGGGTGGAAAATATTAAAGCCAGCCAGACCTATAATGTGATTACTATCTTTTAGTCTACCCCAAAAAAGTATATTGTGTGTGTTAATGTTTTGAATTTCTAGATTTGCTTAACATTACATATAGGCTTCTCTCAGCTTTGAAATATTGTTAGAATCTACTTGTATACTAGAAATCACTTTGTTTGATATTTATTTTGTCCTTTGAATTTTTAGAATTGGTTTATGTAATGATGTTAACAACAAACCTGAACAATATGCATCAGTACAAATGTCTTTTATGTAAGTGCTATTTATTTTTTTTATATGAGTCAGAGGTGCTTAGAACCTTTGGTGGTAGCAAAAATGCAAATATTCTTTTCAGCAATGCATGGGTAGTTGAAAACAATTGGTAAATATGGCAGAATGAATTTGACTATTATTTTTTCAGATGGGAAAATATAAGTGATTGTTTTAATTTTGATACTGATCTGAGTGCAGGCTTGATATGTGATGGCATAGCAAAAGAACCATGGACCAAAGAATTCCTTCAAAATATTCAAAGGTTTGATGTCTTATTTACATAAACATGTATTTAATTTGGTTTATTGTTGTAACCCTTGTGTATGGGTGTGGCAATCCAGTAACATCTCTTGGTTCGGTACTTTTTGTTCACATGGTAACCCCAAGGGCTCAATGAAAGTTTTACAGTGATTTTGTCATAATTGTTATTCAAAACATTCATGAAGTTTTAGAAGAGTTGGCATTTTCCAAATTTTTGATTATGAAAAATTGTTTACAAGGTCTTGTAGGTACTCTGTGAGGTGCTGTCAGGTACCCAATATCAGAGATACTAATACCTTAGAACCGATGTGTCTATAGTGTATACTAGGTCCTTTTTTGACTTAGAAACTGCCTATTATGACAGCTTAATCATTTGTTTCCGAATATGTGTATTAAGCCAGGTTGATAATAGACTATATTTTATTTCAACTATATTTAAACTAATATAAGAGATAAAGATTGGTTGTGCGACCAGTTATCCCTGATTATCAGTGACAAGTTTCGTTAGTGTTTGAACTCTTTAAATAAGTGAACCTATCTATCCTAAGAGGGACACACCAGTTGCCTCTCACTTCCATTTACCGAGACACTCCAGTCTAAATCTTGACTACCGGTACTCAATAATCAACCGACTCAGCACCAACACAGATCTAACACAGTCTACAGCCAATAGGCCCTCCATTTAACTCCATTGGATTATCAGATTGCAAACTTTCCAATGTGATCAATGACA